CCTGTATAGAAAATCCTGAGGATCTTTGGAGAGACCCTGAACTTCCTCAGTTGTCGTAGGTGATACAGGCGCTGCCTAGCCTTTTGCATTGCTGAGGTAATATAAGGAAAATTTGTTAAAAATACATAAAGTCATGGTGAAAACTGACATTATGAAATGAAATGGAATAAAATCCCATATTTGCCATGCTTCCTGGCTCTTGGACCCATGGTTTTCAGTTTGCTGTTAGTTCATTATTCCTTTTGGGTTTTGATGAGTGACTAATGTACATGTCAATAATGTTGTTTTGTAAGGCCTTACGCTTATGAGTAAGCCCATCTGATTCCTGGTATTGTTATTTGTGCCTGTAGTTTTTCTGTTAGTTATAAATGACTTTAGATTTGTCAGTTCCCTTAATAGTTCCCTTTCTGTTCCTTCACTCTCGTCTTTGTGTCGGTCTTTTTATTTTTCTCCTTCCCTGTTTAGTTGTGTTAAGTTAATCTTATTCTCCATTGGGTTGTGTCTCTCTTCCTGTTATGTTTTGGTAAGTGTTGTTCTCTGTGGCTTGCATTACTTCCCCATCTCCTTTGGTTAATTGTCTGCAACTGTGTTTCCACCTCCCTCATTAACCTCAGTGATGTTTTTCTCTCTCAAAAAAAGTTTTTTGCTAGTTTCACTCTTCATGAAAGGTTACATCACCCAGGGGTCACCACAGCAGATGGATCCACATTTGATTTGGCACAACATTCCTTTCCCTTTTTTTTAGGCTGGGCATGCATCCTACTGGTCTTGAACCAGGAGTATTTTCCATATAAGATGACACCACAGCCCCAGTCTTGCTTGGATGCAACATTATTAATATCTAGCGCTAATGAATTCAGATCACATATTCTTAACATAACTAAACATAACATAATAAAACAAAATATAACAACCCATTGGAAGTTAATACAAATAGAAGTGGGAAACACTCGTACATTTACCACAATAAAATAAGACTAAAAACATTGAACATATGTAGGAGGCAATGTGCCTGAACCAAAAAGAACACGAACATTACACGAACATGTCAGGCTGACCAACATGCTGTAGAACATTAGCAAAATTTTAATCTTAAAGTTTTGTATGGGTAAAGTTTTTCTTAAATTGACTTAAGAGTTATTTTTTTCTGCTTTGTGGTGAAAAACCATTTGAATCCATAAATACTGAACTATTATATACTTCACAGAAACCAGTGACTTTGGTCCCTTTACAGAATTTTAAGTTCTTGGGAAAGAAAGAAAAAAAGGAAAAGAAAAATACAGAAACTTCTAAGTTAATGCAACGTTATCGCCACCCTCTACATCAGGGTTGGGAGAACTCCAGGCTTGAAGGGCTGGTGTCCTGCAGGTTTTAGATCTCCTCCTGGGTAAACACACCTGAATCAAACAATTAGTTCATTACCAGGCCTCTGGAGAACTTCAAGACATGTCGAGGAGGTCATTTAACCATTTAAATAAGCTGTGTTTAATCAAGGACACATCTAAAACCTGCAGGACACTGGCCCTCGAGTCCTGGAGTTCCCCACCCCTGCTCTACATTATTTGTTCACTCTCCAGGCAACCCGGATGGCATCCTGCCTTTCAAATCTAGTCTTTGCGTGTGCGTCACAGAGCCTTTGTTGGGTAAGTGGTGAGGTCTTGCTGAGACAACAGTGTATGGACACACTGCAGGAGAGTGACCTTTCTAGCTCTAACAGAAAAAAAAATCTTGTGGCCACACTGTGCTGTGAAGCTAAAACAACTACTGCAGTGACTCTTTGGGCTGTGAGGCTCGTTTCCGTCAGAACCCATAGTTGCATCCAGGCTGAGGGAGTCTGCTTCTTTCCTTTGAGTGCCAGGAGGTTTTACAACATGGTAATGAGCAGCTCAGGCCTCCTCTGTCCACTCTGCTTCTATGGCTGTTGCTGAGAGACAAAGTAAAAGTCACCCAGGCGCTCACGGAGAACAGAGAAGAGGCCTTTAAAACAACAGTACCACCATAACTCATAGTGTCTGTGCAGGAGGAGGAAAGGAGGGCCCAGTGGAGATGTGTGTGTGTGTGCAGAAGGCACAGAAGTGGATGGAAAGGAAGATAAGACACTAAATTTAAGATGAGGAGAATCTTCAAATCTAGTGTAATACAAGGAGAGAATTAATTTCTACAATGCTCTGTTTCCATGCGTGATTTGCTCGGCAAGATGAGAGCCACGCTTGTGCCGCAGAAACACTCTCTACCCTGGATTATTTGCATGGTTTTGATCACAACTGCTGGAGGTGAGAATCTTAAGTTTGTACCAGGTTACTAAATGGAAAAGAAAAGCTGTGTTCTGGAAAAACTGCAGTATCAGCTTCAACATTTCAAAATAATTTCAAAATTCAGAAAACGTCTGGTTACATTTGAAGATGAGATCACAGAATACGACAGTATTGTTGTAGCACTCTTCATCCACTTTACATGTGTTGTCAGTATACAGCAAGGATTGTGCATTATGGCTTTTATTGTATATGTTGCTGTTTGTTTAATGTTAAAGAGAATGTGACTCCTATTTTCACCTTGTGTGTGCGGCAGAAACGTAGTCCTGGAAATGCGTGCTTACTTAGCGAGGACTTTGCCAGCTTGGTGGCCTTTTGTGGACAAATTTTGTCAGCACATTAACAAACTGCAAGAAAGTTCAGAAAGCTTTAATAAAGCTTAATAATGTTGGTGTTTATTAAAGTGAGTTAAACCGAGTTAAAGACAAAGTGCAATATACTTAAATGTAATAGAAAATAACTTAAACATATATTTTTGAAGAAGACAGATGACATTGTGTTTAGTTTTGTACCAGCCAATCAAAAAGTGTTCTTTAAACTAACCTTTTTTTTTTCAAAATATGAAATATTTTTGTAGATGCTTTAAAGCTATGGTTTTTGGTTTTTCAAAATAAAACTTCCTTCTTCATCAAATGATAGTGCTCCATTATTTAGGAGTTTATGAGCATGTGTTAAAACGACAGACTTTCAAAATTAAATTCTGCTATCACAATGTAACTATTACCTTCCACCTCCTGTAAGTCTAAAAAAAATCATTATTATTAAACACCAACTTTATTGGTGTTTAATAATAATTACCAGACTAAAGTCTGGTAATAACAACAGTTTCACTGATGTATTTCAAGAAATTCTTGTTGATAATGATACATTTTTAATCACTGAAGGGTTGAACAATATTATATTATATTTACCAGCTTTTACCAACTATTTAACTTTTTTCCCAAAATCTCGACATTGTAGCAGTTTGAATATTTGATTCCTGGTTTAATCCCAAGAGGATCTACTTAATACGTGAGGCTTCCTTCTGTGCGACTGCACTCAACAAAGAAAAAAATGTCCAAAATGTAATGTTCACTTTAAATATGAAATTACATGCATTTCTTCCCCATATAATTTGTTACTTAGGAAATGCAAGTATTTCAAATATTAACTTTAATGGAAGCTGATCAAATGAAATTTGTTTGAAAAGTATCCATTGAATTTATACCAACCATATATTTGGTAATTTTATCAATAAATAAACTGTTGATTTTATATATTTCAGCTGCATTTTATTTAAAATTAACGCTTCATGGTAATAAGGCCTATAAAATAATAATTTTTGAGTGCAAAGAAGATCCTGTACCTGAGTGCAATTATGAGGTAAAAATTACTTTTTATTTGATTTTGTAAGTCAATTGCAGTTCAGAGGGAAATCTTAAATCTTTATGGTTTGCATGTTAATATGACATTTGTACTTACCTTTCAGATTAAGAATTATGATGTGTGTCAGCCCAGTAAAAAGGATAGAAGAGAC